TGACTTCTTAGGGAGGCTGCATGTTTAATGTCTGTGACATGTTCAGCTTCTTATTCCATGTGACATTAATGGCACAAGAATCTCTGTCAGTTTCTGAAGCAAACTTGACTTTGAGCACTTAAATTGGGAGCCTGCAAAAAGGGACAGCTCGAGCTATCAAAACAAGTTAACCATGCCCAGCTAGGGATCCTTTCTTACGTTACCTTCTTAATCTTGGTGCTTTGCGGACAATCCTATAGGCTCTCATTTCCTCCTCTACTTAAAAATTATGCTGCTTTTATGGTCTGTTTCACAGGGGTATTGTGGTAACTGTTCAATGCTCATAAAGAATAGTATGAGAGGTAAAGCACAGTGGGGCAAGGAGCAATGGTTAGACAGTTGAGTGAAAACTTTCTAGTGCGTGTTGTGTGTAGTTTGATACTATTTTTAAAGCCTGTAAGAAATGTATCAAACACTTCAGCCTCTAATAATTTATCAAGTAATTGTTTATTTACTTGATCTGTATTGCCAAAATATGTTAAAAACTGTACTTTTGTACAGTCATCTGAGCAAGGGTTTACAACCATGAATTTCAGTCTCCAGCAGGTAACATCTTAGATGGTGGAATTCTCTCTTTTGTAGCGCTAACAAAACAACTGTAGTATTTCATGTAAAGATTGATGACTTGCACAGTCTCAAATGATAATTTAATCAAAACTTCATCAGGATTCAAACATCTCTAATTTCAACCCCACCTTTATTATTTTTCCCCTGTTTAAGTTTGTAATAGATTTTGGTTGAGATAAACTAGAACATGAAGAGTCATGTTTAATATTGGAGTGACACTGTGCACTTAAACGATCCTCTGTGCACACCAGTACGTTACTCAGTTGTGGTGCAATGCTCTTTCTCTTACTCTCAAAAAGGTCAAATATCAGTGGACGTTCTGAATTTATCCGCATGCCAGTTTACCCTTTATTGGGAAAATATCCCTGGATTTTGCAATGATGAGGGTTTGCAATCTGTGGGTTTTTTTTCGTTATACATTTTGCACAAGTCTGGGGGTGTGTGTACATGCTGTAAGTTACTGTAAGCAGTTTTTTTCCGGCAAGTTGTTTCATTGAACCATTCTGAGCAACCAACCCTCAGCACAATGTCACCTTTAATATAAAGTATATTTTTGCCTCAACAACTTCAATAGCTACATTAGTACTGCCTCATGCCCATTCCCTTCCAAGTTTATCTTTGCTGGAATATTATGGTGCTGTGAACTGGTGCGTGTCAGCAGTGTTGCAAGTGGCATATTGTCAGGGATGGGGTAGCCCTCGGACAAGGTTGCCTGGGTTTCTCCTGGGGAGCATGTGTATGCATGTAGCTTGACTTGAGCCTTGTGAATCAGGACAGTCATCTCAGTCCAATCCTAACAGTCAGCCTAGCCCAGAACTCCGTAAGGACAGTGGCTAAAAACAGATATCCAGGGAAATGATAAGCACAGGCAGAGCAAGTAGTCCTTCCCTGGAAAGCTCTCTGCTGCTGCTGGTGCCGTGTGGCTCCAGAAGGAGAATTTAATATCCCTCATTGAATATTTTTGCCACTGATTTGTCTATTTGTTTCTGAGCCAAGACTTTCACAGAATCATTAGGGTTGGAAGGGACCTCTGGAGATCATCCAGCCCAACCCCCCTGCTAAAGCAGGGCCACCTAGAGCAGGTTACACAGGATCACATCCAGGTGAATTTTCAATGTCTCCAGAGAGGGAGACTCCACACCCCCCTGGGCAGCTTGTTCCAGTGCTCTGCACCCTCAACGTGAAGAAGTTCTTCCCCATGTTGAGGTGAAACTTCTTGTGTTTTAGTTTATGGCCATTGCTCCTTGTCCTGTTGCTGGGCACCACCCTCCTGCCACCCGCCTTTGAGGTATTTATCTGCACTGAGATTCACTCTCAGTCTTCTTGAGACTAAACAGGCCCAGCTCCCACAATCTCTCCTCATGAGAGATGCTCCAGACCCCTGATCATCCTTGTGGCCCTCCACTGGACCCTCTCTCCAGTAACTCCTTGTCTGTCTTGTACTGAGGAGCCCAGAACTGGACCCAGCACTCCAGATGTGGCCTCACCAGGGTTGAGTAGAAGGCAAGGATCACCTCCCTGGACCTGCTGGCCACACTTCTCCCAGTGTACCCCAGGATACTATTGGCCCTCCCAGCTGCCAGGAAACACTGTCAGCTCAGTCAGTTTATCATCCACCAATAGTCCCAGGTCCTTCTCAGCTGAACTGCTGTCTAACAAGTCAGCCCCAACCTGTGCTGGTACTTGGTTGTTCCCCCCCAGGTGCAGTACCCTACACTTGCCCTTGTTGGACCTTGTTAGGTTTTCTCCACCCAATTCTCCAGCCTGTCAAGATCCCACTGAATGGCAGCACATCCTTCAGGTGTATCAGCCACTGCCTCCAGCATTGTATCATCAGCAAACTTGCTGAGAATACATTCTATCCCTTCCTTCAGGTAATTTCACCTCCTTACATTTTGAAATATATTTATTTATTTGTTTTTAGTAGCACCAGCAAAATTCTTCTTGGACTTTCTTTTGTCCACCTTACCATACTTATCCTACCAGGCGTTACGGTGACCTGCTTGACCATGCATCTACTTTGTAGTGAAAATACCACCTAAATTTCTGTAGGACTAACGATTCTCGGAGAACTTCTTGCAAGCTAATGCTTCCATCTTTCTGCGCAATTAAAGTATATTGTGATCTGCTACAAGAGAAAGTAGTTCAGCTTGCTCCTTAACAAAGAACTGCGGGTGCTGCTTCTAAATCTCCCAATAACACATTTGGACTACCTTCATGAAATCCCCAGTCTGGGAGGAAGGTTTTGCCTGGTTGCTGCTCAAGCAGTGATTATTCACAGGAGCTCAAAAATGGTTGCTTGTCAAGGTTTTAGTATTTCTGCTACTTTTTCTTATTCTTTTCCTAATGGTAAATAATTTGTAAAATAAATTAAGCTTCCTTCAGCCAAACAGAAGAATGACTTTAGAAGTATGTAGCTGGAAAAGGACTTGTCTCTTTGACAATCCCAGTGACTTGTTTCAAAGAGAAGTAGTCTCTGAATTAGTTTTGTGTTAGATGTTCTTTTTTAATATTATTGGTAAAATGCGCTGAAGTAGCTGTATAGAGCAGTTAAATCTTCGTATTTACAGCTGAGGTACAGAACTTGCAGCCAAAGCCAAATACACTCCCTGAGTTTGGGGAAAGCTTTTGAATGGGAGCAGAATACAATTCTACAATTTCTTGTTAGAACTATATCAGATTCCAAATATTTTATTTTATTTTATTTTATTTTATTTTATGTTCTCTTATTTTTATATGAGCAGATGTGCTGAGAACTGCTGATTTACATGCTGGAGGTAACAGCTCGGGCATCTGATGGTGACAGTCATGACTAGTGTCCTAAAACTAGTGTAACCCTAGCAACTAAATGAAGTTTGAGGAATGAAACGGCCTGTTATATTACAAAACAGTAGTTGCATAAAATATGGTCTCTGCTGTAATAAAAGAAGTGTCTCAATTTCTTGGGTTTTTATTAAATAAAACCTTAAAATATTGTTGGGGGGAATTAGAATTGATGTTTAAAAAAGACTGTGCTGGTTATGCTACTCTCTTGCTTACCTATGTGTATGTTTGGCATTTGTGACAGCTTGTTCACCAGAGGTTTCCTTGCTTATGACCAGCACCCTGAACCCCTGTTGTTGTGTTTCCCAATGTATTTCTTGCCACTTGGACCTGTCACTACTGTATGTGTTTGCACAAGCCGTCTGCAACTATGGTCCAAACATTGTAGCTTTGCTCTGGTTTCGTGGTCCCCAAAGGACTAAAAAGTCAGTCTGTGTCTCAAGCTGTAATTGTCTCTTCTGTTTTCTCAGCATTTCCCCCCCCCCCCTTATCTTGGCTTAGATGTTCAAGAAATGGTGCATAACTTCCATGTAAAATTTAAGTGGACTAAAATAAAAAATATAAAAATTATTTTTTAAATTCCATATAAACATTAGGAGCAATTTTAAGATTGAATATTAATAAGCACTGTAAGGGCATACATTTTTAATGTAGCTGCTGCCCACGTTTGAAATTAGGTCATTCAAATTTTCTTCTTCTTGCTGTTTATTCCTGCAGTTAATGTATAACATGAAAGAAGAGTTCAGGTTTTATACTTTGTGTTTTATACTGATTAGAAGCAGGCTGAAGGTTTTATTTGGAAGGCAAAACATACAACTTTATTTCTTTCTCTATCTCTAGTGGCTCTGGGAGCAGCTGGTAAACATGGAAATTAAATAGAGACAACACTGTGTATTTTGAGATGTTTTGCAGTCTCCCCCAGTTGGAAACAAGACAGGAGTCTGATTCCAAATGTTTGCAGCACACAGCTGGAAATGTGCCAAGATGGCACTATAAAACAGTCGTCTGCACTGTAGAACTGGGGTTTGGGAGGGGTTGGCATTGTTACTGACTTACCCAAGGAGTTCTAAAGGTTAGTCAAAGCAAAAGTTATTTTTCAGAGGGAATTGCAAATAGTCATTTTCTCTATAGGAGTATCTTTTGGTGCTATAGGTATATAGTACCAATAGGTTCTAATAGGTATATTTTGTGAAAGTAAAATTAATTCTCTTTACATCCTTTTTTTAAATCCATGCTTGCATCATTGTTTGTAAGATGCCAATTTCTGTGCTTTCAATAAATAATGGAAATGCAGATCTAAATGCTTAACAGCTAGTTATGAACAGCAGTAAGTAACAGTAACTCTTAAGAAGCTGAAACTGGTCTAGAAAACTTACTGGTTACTACCTGCCGCATCTTTTGCAACGTTGCTTTTAAGTTTGTCTGAACATGGGTTTCAATAAAGATACAAAAATAACGGTTAACAGATTCTTGTAGGTGTCACGCTTTGAATGAATTATCACATTGTTATGTTTAAAGTATGTTAGACTATTACAAAAATAACCTAATTGAAATGTTGTGTTTTCTTTCAGCTCCAGCGGTAAACCGGTTCACCAGGCGGGCATCAGGTCAGTTGGATAAAGTTGCACGTTTCATTGGTCTACATGATAGTTGAAACCTAATGCTGACAGTGACTGCCATGTAAAACATAATACGCCATTAGTCAGATTTCTTTAAAGATGACTAATTTAGATTAGTCTCAAATTTATTGTCTGGTTTACTGAAAAATGCAGCCAAGGTTCCAGGTCACAGAACTTGCATGAAGCCTTCTTGTTGATGTGGAATTTGAGAAACCTAAGGTTTTCTTTTTTCTTTAAAGAAAATAATTTTAGTCCTAACAGAACTGAACTTTCAAAGGAATAACTGAATGTAATCTGATGCAGGGTTATCTTGCTTACTTATAGACAGCCTGAAACTGCAATTTGGTGATCAACTGTACATGAGAAGATGTACAATCTCCCTGTGTTTTTTGAAACTGGGCTGTTTTGTGTATGTGGTGTGTCGTTCTGTTGGGTATAGCTGAAAGATCAGGTCCTAGAAGCAGCATTGCTGTGGTGATGGTGGTGTGCGATGCTAGAAGCATACCTACCTAGCTTGGTGCCAATGTACGTATTCTTCAAGTTAACTTGGTTTGTGCTGGCTCAGGGGACTATTTACCTTACTCCATCACATGTAAAGGATCCCTCCAATTTATGTATCATTAAAAATTAATATTCATGGCCCCCCCTTATTGTTCTGCTGTATGATAGCCTTTAGGTTTCATTTTTGAGGGCTTCATCTCCTGAAGCATGAGGTCCATAACCTAAGTTTTTTTTTGTTTGAAATAGTATGAGTGTGAAAGTGGGGTGTAAAACTAAATGTAATGAGACTTGTGACTGACTCATAAGAGTCTGCAGAGCAGGAGATGTGAGCTGTTCCTAGTCATCTTAGTATGCTAAGTTGAAATCTAGGTCTAAAACACTTTCTGTTTTCAACTGCAGATCATTTTTGGTAAATGTAAAAAAGTTTGTATTCCATAATGCAATAAGGCTACCTGACTTCTAATATTGCTAGTTACAGCCTATTGTGAAATGAGTGGTGTAGGGTCATTCAAAGAATGAACATCAAAGGTATTATCAAGAGCAATTTTATTATGACTTAAAGGTGCAACTTAACAGAATTCAGTGGCAAGGTTCAGTCTGTTACTTGTTGCATTGATGAAACATCCAAAGGAAGAATGAGGTAAAATTGAACTAAAAATGATTGATACAGAGACTGAAGGCACAAAGGGAAACCCTCCCATTGAGTCATGAGGTTCAGAATAGACCCTCTTACTTTCCAAACTCCTGATGGAGCTAGGTGTGGCTGGACCTAGTCTTAGTCTCAGATGTGATCAACAGTTTGAGTCTAGTGGAATGTATAAAAGGAAAATTGAGGTAGAATCAAACTGATTTGTATAGAAACTGAAGATGCAAAAGGGTATGGGAAACCTTCTAATTGAGTCACAAGGTTCAGAGTGGACCCCTTGCTTTCTAAACTCCATATACAATGGTGTGTGTATATATATATAATGGAAGAGATAAGAAAATCCTCCCTTTAGGTCATGAGGTTCAGAATAGATCCCCTTGTTTCCTAAACTCCCAAAGGTGCCAAGGTGTGGCTGGATCTAGTCTTAGTTTCAAACCTGGTCAATATTATACATCTAATAGGTTACAAGTGTACCAATTCATCACAGGGGGAATTTTACACAGCTTCCATCCAGCAGCAGTTTACGGTTTTAAGGTGGATCTTATAAAGTGAGTCAATAGAATTTACTACACTTGCTACAGCAGCCTGTATGCACATACACCCTCATGCCTACATAAAGACATATAAAGGTGTCTGTTAAAAATCACCCTCAAGGTCAGTGAAATATTCACATCTAATGTTTTGGTATTTCTCACTGGGCAAGAGTTTAGTCTCCAGGAGTGGGGGGCACTTCAGTCCAGAGCTGTCTCTTAGTGATGGTCCTCCAGTTATGGCAAACTTGAGAGTTTAAAAACTCTTGAGAGATATCCCACTCAGAGGGAGATGCTGGCTGCAGCCTCCTGCAGTCCTGGAGACCTCAAGGGACTGCTATTGAGTTGCAAGATGATTTGCTGTAGTCATTAGTAAATTTCCGTCCTGGCCACAACCTGAGTCAATAAATACTAGAAATTTTTCAAAACTCTATTAACAATGGTGCTGTTCCACTTTGACTACAATCAAGGGAAGGAGTATGCTGTGGCTGTGCAGGGATGACTGATTATCCTTGCTCTTGCTTCCCACCTTAGCCAGGGAACTGGAATCCCTGGTATGATCAGTGCCTCACTCCTTAGCCATGGGCAAGAGCTCCTGGTATGGTCAAGGGATGCTTCACCACCCAACTTATTGCACAAAGGTCAAGGCCTGATGGGAATTCCTGAACTCATAGACTGACTGAGAGAACTGGGGGGGGGGGGAAGGGGGCAGTTGCACCACCACACAACCTCAGGCAGATAGCTCCTTGTCAGTATAAAAATATTAGTGGAGATCCTCAGGATTACTAAGGAACTGTACAGAAAAATGAAGGTTTGCATTTGCAGAATTGGTGCATGGCATAGGTAGCACAAAGTAAGAAAATGTAATGAATTCCAAATATTCTCATGTTTAAGTAATGGCAATACTTCATAAGGTACTGTAGCATGACATGAAGGAACGATTCATTAACTAGCACGCAGAACCGGTGAGCAGAGCTTTATGCAAATTACGTTGCGCATCTTAAGGATAAGACTTACTGCCACTGATTGATAGCTGACTTTAATGAGTGCAGTCCTTAGATGTGTGATAAGCTTTTGCATTTCAGTAGGAGAGTTAGATTGTTTGAAAAGCTGGTACTTGCTCAGGAAAAAAAAAATTCTTTCTAATATTCCTTTGAAAGAAAGCTAAAAATGTGTTAGCCTGATTTTTTTTTTTTTTTTTTTTTAGCACAATTATTGGAGAAGTGATTTCTATGAGCAATTAATATTTCATGTGTTTTGGTCTTGTTGTGGACTTATCTTATTATTGTATAGACTTATCTTATTATTGTATCGTATGGTCCAGACTTACTATTGTACAGACTTATACAATAGACTTATTATTGTATAGTATGGTCCAGCTATATAGTGTGATCCAGTTATAAATCATGTGAGTACAGTTCAAGCTGGAGCAAGGTAATACTACATTCTACTATGCATACTATTTTATTAAGTTTCTGGCAGCTTTGATAGTCAAAATGATTATTTTTCAATCAGGAAAGCTGATGAAATGCAACAGTTCTTACTGCTCCTCTTAATGTCAACTGGAGAGGTACAGTACCTTTAAGAAACTTGATTGATAAAATATAAAATTAAAAATATGAAGAAGATTATGCTGATAATACAGACATTTTACAGGGGTGTTTGCAGTCCTAACTGTATTTTGGATGCTTTAATTGAGCAACAATTGTTTGGTTACATTAAGGTAGTCAAGATACCTTGCAAGTGGAAAAGCCAGATAGTAGCTGATTTTTGTATGCTTGGTAGCTTAATAGCATTCTGTAATTGAAGTTGATCCTCATATTTAGGAAATGAGAGGCTGACTAAATGAAATGTAGGTTTTTTCTCAAATATGGATTTCTCTTAATTTTAGGCTACTTATCTAACAGCAATTTTAAAAATTTAAATGTGCAAAATTGTTCTTTCTTGTTTCTGAATATTTACTTCTGATGACCATTATTCCTAGTTAATGATGAACATTCAGAGAATTAGATGCAGTACATGGCTTCTCATTACATCTGATCTAGTGATACTCCAGACTGATCCCGAGAGTGTGACTTTTAGGGCCCCTGCCTTCGTCATGCCTCTGCCCATACATTGTCTCTTTTTCGCTTGCATAGACCTAGGAGTTGTGCTTCCTAAGGGTGCATTGAGTTAAAGAAAACAAATACAGGAGGTTTTGGTGTGTTGATTTTCACTGGGTGTGTTGATTTTCATCAGTGACCTCTGATGTGGTTCCCAAATAACATCTGAAAGAGGGGTAGTAATAACTGCCTTTAGCCAGTGGTAATATGGAGAAAGAGCTGAACCACTGACATCAGTTGAGGCAAAACATTCAATGATATCTGCAGCAAAGGCTCCTAGACTATTCTGCTAAAAGCTGCTTTTTTAAGCTCTTGCAATGATAAGCAGGGAGAAGCTATGAGATGACATGTTTCTTCACAAAGAACAATAATTCTCTGCAGTGGATATCTTGATTTTGATGTTTCTCTTATTCTTTGGATAATGCCTAGTATTTTACTTGGCTGCATAAGATAGTTATTTTTCCTAACAGAGCTAGAAATTAAGAAGTTAGAATTTAATTGCTGAAGCACCTGCTGACAATAATATAGGAAGGCATTTATTATTTAACAGCTGTTCCTGTTAACATGCTGTGAATGTATTAATGTACTGTCATTGGTACATAAAGGATAAAGGCATAAGTAAACTAGGATCATCTAATTGTTCTTTCATCAATTCTCAAAATTTATTGAACTACCTAATTTAATATCTCTTCTGTGTGTTTATCCATATGTGTAGATATCCAGTGTGGGCTCTATACATAAAATACACGTGTACCATAGTGCTGATGACATAGGTACTTATGAGCTAGTTAATAATGCATTCCATTGTTCTAGGCAATGCACAAAGAATAATAGGTATTATAGTCTTAAACAGAAGAGTTTAGCAAGAAGAGGAGGTTAAAAATACTTTATAGAGTTAGAATGAACAATGAGACAGCTGCAAGTAGTTAATTCTTAGTTTTTGTTTTAAAATCTGGTGGGACTGAGATGAAGAGAAAGGAGAAAAACTGTTGAGGCTACCAAGAGGCTCAAAGGCTAAGAAAGGAGGGGAAGGAGGTAGAAGCAGCATGAAATGGAAGAGAAAGCTGTGAGTATGTTCGTGAGGTGAAAAATGAGTGAGAATTCCTGAACAAGATGAAGTAGCCAAGAGACACATGTTTTTAATATAGACAGATACTTTCTTGCTATGGATGAGATTAGTTTTAATCCAAGTATGAGACACGTAGGGAT